TGTTATTGCTTATTAATGAATTAATATTTACAAGTTTAGGGAAAGTTTGGGCTCATTTACTCCATAATGACAAGGCAGTTCAGTGCCTGCCAGTTCTATAATGTGGTTAGAGCAGCTGCCTATTTTGGGGAAAAGTTTTGGGAGAGACGCTATGACAGTCATTTTATGGATATGGCTTACATTCAAACTACTTTGACAGACATCAGACAAAAATTTCTACATGTTATCAGTACAAATAAATTTTCTATAGGAAGATCTGGAAACTGCAGGCTGGTGACAACTGTTTTCTCTGAATTCATTAACCTCCAACCAAAGTCAAAATTCACCAGAGTTGAAATCAGCAAGAGCTCAAACTGATCTTTGGCAAAACCAGACATTAAATCTGGCATCCTGAATGGGATGAGATGAAATTAAGTGACAACATTGAGTGCAGTGTTAAAACCAGCAAGGATACCCAATTGTCTTGGATATTACATTGTTGATGTGATCATTTTCATCCTCAATATCAGTAGTGATTGAAAGGAGGAGGTGCAAATCCAGTATCCAAAGCTCAAGCTAAAGATCAGATCAGCAGTTTCCAGATGCCTAACTTCTTTTGGGAGTCCACATCCAGCAGCCAAAAGGTATAAAAGATTCTTGGACTTGGCTTGGTGTATCTGTACTCAAAGCTTGGTCAGCCACAATAAAGGGCAGAATAGGAGGAAACGTAAAGACGCTCAAATGCTTTCCACATTAGTCATGTGTAGACCCCATTGAAATTTTCCATTGTCTTCACGAGAATTGAAATGAAGCCAACACACAGCATCTTTGAAAATCCCACCCTAAAATTATAGTTAGAAGAAGCAGCCAAACACTGCATTATGGTCTGCACATTCTTGAAGGGGGTGGGGATTATGCTAAAAGTTATTTTTGTTAACATATTTTCAAAGTTAAAGAGATTTTTCATCACTGACAGTAATTCATATAATTTTTGCTTGTTGTTCTGTGATATACGGGTTTGTAAGCTCATATTCCTCTTAGAATGAGGTTCTGACTCTTTTTGCTCTTCTGGTGGGGTTCCTGGAACCTCCCAGGAAAAATAGATTCTTGTTCACATGTTTCTGAAAGCTTTAACTGAAACAAAAAAAAAAAAAAGAGAATTTAAATATTTTTTTTCATCCTAATTGTAGGCCTCCCCTTAACATCTTAAAATTAAATTTAAGTTTTAGAATCAAACTGACTAATTGTGGCTCTGGGCCCTGATTTTGCAGCTCTTCCCCAGAGCAGAAGTGTAGATGCTATTCTATTGCACTCATTGCTTATAATCAGTGGTTTTGTCCCAACTTTTCAATGCAAAAATATTTCTTTTAGTGTTTTGTTTTGATAGGTGAAGACAGCTGAGATCACAAGCCACTACTGAAATCAGTGGGAGGCTTTTTCCTGCTTTCAGAGGGTCTTTATTCACTAAGAGGAAAATAAACATTTATAGTAGAGATTTGTCTTCATTTTTATGTAGAGCTCAAATGTGTCAAGAAGTTGTCTGACGTAGGTCGCTCCATGCTCACCTCCTGTCACAGCAGATGCTCCTCCAGTCCTACAGAGTTGTGAACCAAGAAAATGTTCTGTTATTTCCAGATTTGTTTTTTTTTTTATGTAGGATAAAATACATTACAAATCCTCTTCAGGAAAAAGGAAAATACAGGGAGAAAGGCATATGGATCCAGATTCCTGCATTCTACCTGTTTCTTGAACAAATGGTCCATGGGTCAACATGAGCATATGCTGATTTCTTTGCTGGAGAAGACAAATGTGCTTTTAAACAAGCCTGTATTGAGAAAGATTGATACCACTGCAATTTATTTTGAATACAGATGAAGTTTCAGTATGGTGAACCAAGAGGTATTTGCTGTGCCACTTGGGAAAAAAAGCTACAGAAAAGGCCATGGACTGTTGGTAATCTATGGAAGCAAATGAGCATCTTTCGTGTCTGAATTAGAGGGACATTTTCGTAAGGATGTGGCAGCCTGCATGGTGAAAATACATCTGCTAGAAACATATTGTGTAACTGGCCACTGTAGCACTTGCTGTGTATGAGGTTGGGTGTGATGAAGGGAGGCAACAATAGAAATTGTTTGCAAGAACTTCTGCAACCTTTTCCAAGCTCCTGTAAAGGGTTCTCAAATTGGGTCTCTGGAGTCTTGGGACAATATCTTGGATGGGACCTTAAGAGCTTTCAGTCGATGGGAAGTGGAGCCCATACATCCTTGTCCATAGACAGTCACTGGTAGTGAAATATTTGTTCCCTGTTGCTCTCTGTTTGCTGCAGTGATTTTCCCACCCTTGAGCTGGGTTTTTAGTCACTTGCCTAGAGTTCTGTTGCAGTGATTATTTCTGGGGGAGTCCTTCTTGGTTTTTGTAGCAGCATGCCCAAGGCTTGTCTCCTTTCTCAACTCATTTCTTGAGTGCTCTGCCATGCTTCCTTAGAGATGGCAGATACCAGACAGATCATGGTGCTGAGCATGACAGAACACCAGGTAATTTGTACAGTGTGCGGGGAATGGGAAATCACTGCTTTTGGGGGGGCACAGGCCACCAACACTCAAGCAGCAATAAGAGATTTTGTTGTATGTTAACTGAAGGACAGGTCACCAATGGCCATATTCAGCCTCCCTCGTTTACATGAGTGGTATCATTGGGATTGAATGAGACATGAGGAAGTTGGAGACAATTCCTTGTGAAGGTAAGGTGCTCTTTAGTATGAGGAAGACCGTCAAAATCTGGCCCCCTAATAAAAGTATTTGGAATAACTTTATTGCATATTAAGATGCAGAACTATATTTAATTCTGTGTTTATTTTGATCTGAAGCAGTGCTTTGAAAGAGAAAAAAGGTGAGAAATATCAATAACAGCTGCTGAAATTATTGTTTTGATTATCATGTTGGACTCCGAGTGAATTCTGCAGTTCTCACCAGCAAGAGGAAGATTTGCGTCAGGACCAGCTCACGTGGCTGTTGAGGGAAAGATTCACATCATGCCTACTACAGGGTAATGTGAGGCAAGAGCTCGTAGCTGGTTGTTCTTCATAAACTACATATGACTGTAACAGTAGATATTTACAGGGCAGAGAGAGAAGGTCTGGGAGTGTTTGGCACATAGGACAACCAAGGAAGCTCATCTTGAGAACCACTCCCCACCACTCCTGGAGGCTGTAAGTACATGGTACTTATACACAGTTGAACAAATGCTCCTGGGTGGCCCTACATGGAGTTAGAACCTTGTTTCTGCATTCTCCCCAACTTTTCTGAGCTCTGGGAGACATAGGACAAACTATGGAAGTCTTTGTGAGACCTCCTTCAGGCCATGCTGGATGTGGTGCACAGATTGCCCTAGTTCCACTGGCCTGGAATTTTATCAGTGCTCTGAAGGACAGAGAAATCTGTAGGTTGCTTTAATGTGATAACAACTCTCTAATGTCTTGAGATATCTCTCTAATACTTAGTATCTTTAATATCTCTTTGAAGAACTTTGCATGAAGTCCCTTTGGGAACTCTGAAACTACAGCTTCAAATTAACAACTCCTGGTAGAACATTAAGGTTTCAGAAGAGTCCAGAGGAGATGGGTTTTACAGGATCTAGCAGATTTCTTGTAAGCTGTGAGTGCTCTTGAAATGATAGCAGACTATTAGCAAAGGCAGCTCTGTCACGAAAGGTTTTGACAGCAGTTGCGTTAAGAGGACATTGTCAAATAGGTACCTGGGATGGTTTACAGTCTTTACAACTCCCCTATCCATGTTCCTTTGAAGGTGAAATCGGGGTCTGATTTCTAGCTCAACTTACAGTGAGAAAACCCAGCTCTTTTCACCTGGCAATCCTTTATTGATTTTCTTTTCTTGTTAGTAACGGTGCTTGAAAGTAACTTGAAGTTTGTATCTGTTGCCTTATGTCTATGCTTGCACTGTGTCTGGTGTTTTGATATTTCTGAAAATAAGTTTGCTGCCTGTTCACACACCATCTGTTGGCTTTTAGAAAAGGTATTAGGTATGACTTGCCGGATAGTCAGTAAGTCTCCTTACATCTGCCTACAATCCCTTTCTAAAGACTATTGGCCTGTGCTATTCCTGTCTCTCCAAAATAATAGTGTAACGGGGCAGATCCTTGAGAAGTGCCACATTGCATGGATAAGTGTGTGTACATAACCTAACACAGGAATAATGTTTATGGGACCATGGCTATTTTTAAAACATTTATTTTTGTTGGAAGAGAAGTTAAAAACAAATGGAGTGCAGAGGCCATTTCTCAGTGGATTGTGACCACTCTCTCTCCCTTGCAGCTCCCATATGTCAAATTTTTGCCACAGTCATCTTGAAAAACTTGAAATTTTAATACCTCACAAATGTGATATGTTTAGTTTTGTAAGTGCAAATAAAACTCTGGTTAGTCTTAACATTTTTTTTGTATGCATATTAATACTTTTCTATCTGATTTTGCTACTGTGCAATGATTTGTGCAGGGAGCTGCATTTTAATACATCAGGACAGCTTCTACATCACCATATGTTTTTTAATTAATTTTCCTCAAACCGCTGCAGTTACGTTAATGTTACGATTTCCTATGTGATTTTTTTATTATATATGCTTATCCTATGCCATCCCATTAGTGTGAACAGACACTTCTGATACTCGGTGGCACACAGAAGTATCATTTGATTATTTGTGGCTTTCTCTGATGCACGCGGGGAATGTTATATTGCACTTTTCCAGTGTGCTCATTATTTTATGACAAGCTCAGCTGTCAGTCTGGATTCCTATTTCCTCTCTATTTTGTGAAGCTCTAAGAATATCTGGCAGCTTCAGCCTGAGTGTTTGCGTTGTGTTTCGGCTAAAACAGACTTCACTTACTTTAACCAGAGACTTGTATACAGGCTAGTGCTCTACAGCAACCTACATGAGCTAAACAAAATGAATCATCCTATTTTATTTCCACTGAAGTAAATGGCAGCACAGTGAAGCTCTGATTTTCTCTGAAATCTGTTTAAAACTTTTTTTTTTTTTTTTTTTTTTTGGTTTCAGTGGACTTCTAATCATGTTGTAAGCCAACAAACATTACCTAAATATTTATTTATTTAATCCACTTCTAGTTTTGCTCATGGTCCTCTAATATCTCCTTACACATTATAGTTCAGCTGATTGCCAGTGTCCTGGCTGTGTGAATACTCACTGCTCTGCCTGGGAATGGCAATGCAGCCTCTGCAGCAAGACATGAATTCCTTCACCTGGCCTCAGCCCTGTCCTAGCTCTGAGCTGTGCTTTATCGGCCAGTCCATTTGAAGCAAATGTCTGGAACATAGCAAAAGTGAATATATAATATGCACAAAAATGCCAGCAGTGAGGAAATCCTTCTTTCGTCTGTCTTTCATTTAGCACAATTATTTTCATCCATGCTCGTGTGCAGTAGGGAAGACATGGTGAGTGAGATTGGGCTGGGAACTGCAACAAGGTGTTTGCCTCAACTTTGATCTCTTTGGTCAGAGAGCACTGCTGATTTCTACCTGGAAACGTTTTAGGGTGTCAGAGCTGGTGTCTGTACATGTCCATGGTAAATTAAGTTTGTGCCAAAGGAGGAGCTTGTATCCATAAGCCTTGCTGACTGCAGGACTGGGCACTGCATCACGCTTGTTCCCTTCTCTGCGCCAAGGGAGCAGTTCCTACAGTCTGGCTGAAGTCACTAATCGCTCCGAGTAACACTGGGTCTATAATTCACCACTAATCACCAGAGTTTTTCTGGCTGCATGTATGTGCTCAGCCATGCTACTGTGCTTCAGTGGGCTGGCAGTTCCGTGGAGCGGGGTGCGTGGGGCGCAGGGATGTGCCCCTGGCTGGGAGGGTGCACTGCTGTTACTTGCTTGCTCCTAGCACTTCTGGAAAACGCTGACTACAGACTCTCCTGCAAGGAGTTACAAGAGGTCTTGAAATCTATATTTGCTGGCACTGTGATTTTCTGTTTGGGGAATGAAATCCATAACAAGACAGTCTTGTGGCATTGCCAGGGTACCTGAAGGCAGGTGCAAGTAACAAGACGCCCTTTGAATTCACCTCTGAAGTGTCTGTGTTGCTGTGATGTGCAAAAGTAGAGGCTCCCTGGAGAGGCTTTAGTGGAAAGGCACGCTTTCTTCAACAGCAAAGAGAGCTAACAGGCAGCTTCCCTTCCCTTAAGGTCTGGACTTCCCATCTCTGTGCTGCTGGCTGCAGCCCATCATCTGCGACTCATGTGAAAGTTCACTCCTGAGGGCTGCAGCCACGCAGCAACTTAAACAGCACTCACAGTGATGAAGATGGAAAAACAGGAGCAAAGAAAGAAGTAATGAGTGGGAGGAGGAAGACTACAATAAATCAACATGTTTACAACTCCACTTTGTTGAGTTTTTTAACATGAGATACTCCATTAAAAAAAAAAAAAATCTTAAGGCAATTGGGTCACCTTAAAGCACTTGAAGTCAGTGTGACCTTTGGCTTTCTCGTTTTTGCTATTTTTGTCTGCTGGGTGAGATGTAGAAATCCAGAGGATCTATAAGGTAAATTTGCAGTTGCCATAGCAATGTGTCTTGTTCATGTTCTCAGTTTGGAAGGGAGATTGTTCCACGCTGCTATTTCATGTCTAGGGCAATAATCTTTGGTGACAAAATTTCTTTGTTTCAGTACATTAATGCTACAACTCTGTTCTTCCTTTCCCAGCTTATGGAAACATGGCTCAGCCTGAACATTCCCCTGTAAAAATACAGTTATTTGCATTTTTTTTTGTTGTAAGAACATTCCTTAAGTCTGGAGGTAAATGTCGATCCATTTTGGTAGCTTGGGTGCAGCAACATCCTGATGCTGTGAAGTTTCGTCATTAAGTGAAAACAAACTGGAATCATTCCACCTTTGCTTCCATGTGATTTGAACAAACTAAAGTATATCCTGAACTAACGAGTCTTATAAAAGAAAAGTAATTTAAAAATACATCCTACCTATAGTGTATATCTTACATATTAGATTTCTACAGATCTCCATGTGCTTTCAGTCAATTCAGATTCAAATCCCAAGTACTGCAGATTCCTAATTTTGATAAATTCTTGCTTAAGGCCACAAATGGAGTTTCTTTTACCACCTTTATTCTTTGTTTTTCCACACACTACCTTCACTTTATTCCTAAAGTGAAGAGTCAAGCAGGAGAAGGTATCCTCGTTTCTGATGGCTCAGTGCAGTCTGCAGTAGTGGGAACAGGCTGTGTACAACTCTGGAGGGTTAGGAAAGCACATAGACATGAGTTGGCCTAGTGTGATACAGCTTGGAGGTTTCACAGAACAGAGGGCTCCTATATTTGGGTAAGAAGGACCCCTTTCTGGTCATGTTCCCCATTTCAGTTGCATGTGACCTTCATTGCCTTTCTAACCTGCTTGGTTTCATTGAACTCATCCTGTTTTTCTTTCCAAGTGACTTCACACAAGGGTGCAGCAGCTGTGGCACTTTGCACAACGCTTCTTCTTCTTCTTGGGGTGGAAAATGGTCAGGATTGCCTCATCAAAGACAGTTTTAAGGCCTTTCTGTGTGAGGGCTGAGCACTCCAGATAACACTGTGCTCCAATCTGAAAGAACAGAGAGAAAATGTGAGTACCCGTTGTTGGGGCAGACATAGTGACCCTGTTCCAGCATCCTTCTACCTGCATATGTGTTCTGCCAGAGAGGGAATCCCAGACCTTTAGAAAGGGGATCAGGTCATTGCTCTGTTTTGTATCTGTCTGTCTATGGGGTTAAGAGACAAGTTCAGGTGGTCATCCTGAGTGAGGGAGCAGGGATGATCATCAACACCATTATCTTATCGAAGGGGGTTAATGCAGGACAGGAATTCCCTGCACAATGCCCCGGAGAGAGGAGGGGCTGCATCCCCTTCGTCCCTGTTGAGTGCTGGACCAGGATCTTGGCCTCCCATCTGTGCAGCTGGGAAGGGTTTCAAGGAGATGCTGGCTTGTTAGCTGAACCCCTTAATATACTTGGCTCTTCTCCCCTGACCTGTCACCCCTGTGTCCTGCCTCGTGCAAAACCAGGGAGCTGCTACCTAGGAGAGGTCTTCCAGCTGGTATCTGGGAAGCATCATGTTGAGATGGGAGTCTTCTGGAGGTGCCGGTATGACACAAACACACACAGTGGCCTGAGAAAGCAGCCTGAGATTATTCAGCAACTGTGTTGCTTATTCAGCTTATTCTGTTAATGGATGCTCTCACTGACCTTTGAAGGCCAGGGCCTGTAACAGCACCTGAAGCATGTAAGATGGAAATGGCTGGGGTCCAGATGCCTGCATTTCAGGCCTTGGGGAGGGCTTTTATCCCCCTACCTTCCTGGGAGAAAGGTACAATTGCTCAAAAACCTTGGGAGCTCCTTCCCTACTGCTTGAAGTGCAATGAATAAGTGAGAATTAAGTTGTCTGTGCTTTTGTAAAGGATAGGGACAAGTTTGGCAGAAGGCAACTGCAGAGAGAGGTTTGCCACACACACCTCCTGGCAGAAGCGTGAACAAGAAACACTTGACGTAGGTAAAGTAAAGGTAAAATCTGTTTTGCTGCCCAATTACCAACTGCTGTCCTGTGCTGCTTTCCATGGATATTGACCAGGTATTGCAGCAAATCAGCAGGATGGGGAGTTGCAATCCGTGTCTGGGTCCAGCCTGTTTGAACTGAAGCTTTAATCTCTGTCTGGGACCAACCAACGCGCCCCAGAGGAGTTCACACTGAATGAAACAAACCCAGTGGAAAGCTGTGATCAGTTGGTTTTGTGGGATCTCAGAAAAAGCTGTTACCTCTTTTGCTAGCTTCACGCCGTGCTCATAGGTGAGGGGTTTCTCCTTCATATAAAGCAGCCGAGCCAAAGTTTTGGGATCATCTCGGAGATCAATCTAGTAGAAAACACACAAACCCCATGCTCAATGCTTCTTTCCTGTAATTCTTGAAACAGATAGTCATACCTTTACAAACCCACAGTCATGTCCTCACATAAGGGCACCTGTCCTCCTGGTCTCAGATGATACTTTAGAAATTAATTGCACGTGTATTTTCCATTTCCACCCACCCCTCCACCCCCCCTGTTTTTTTTTTTTTTTCTTTCTTTCTTTCTGCTTAACATGATTTAGTTCTCACTGGTGGGTTATTGGGCCACAGCTCGGATAGCTGCGGTAAAGATGCAGTTCCCAGTGGCACTCACAGTACAACTTGGAAAGTGTTGGTGGAAGCCTGAGCCACACTGGAAGGAGAGGCTGCTGCACCCCTGCACTGCATCACCCGTAAAACACCTTGACAGGCCAGGCAGACACAGCTCAGTCTGACTGACTTGAAACAAAATCCTTAATTTCCATGGAAAACATCAAAGTGAAGCATTCTGGCATTTCAAACCCATCCATTTTCAGAGTGTGTGCTCCAAAGGGTAATACTTTTATTTTAAAATGGGTGTTTTAGATTATTCCAATGTGGAAAACAAATCCCATGTTTGAACGATCGGACTTTCCTATGGCATAAAGGTTTTGGTTTTGAGCAGAACTTGATCTGTTTCTCTAACTTGGCTTAGGTTACTGTCCAGCGTTCAGACATTTTCCAGACTTGTATCCCTACTTCTCACAGTCTCTAACCACTCTATGTCTTGGAAGCAAACCCATATTTAAGGAATTTTTATTTGACTGATAGATTCATAGATTTTAATGACAAAATAAAGTGGTTTGCTTGTTTAGTCTAACATCCACTATAACACAAGCAGGATAGTGAGTCACTATTTGCAGTGTTGATATAAAGCATGAGGGAGGCTATTTCCTTCACATGTCTCTAAGTCAGTCATTTAGTTAATTATTCCCATTCTTAAAATTTATTTTGAAGTTTAGTTTCTGCTTCCAACCACAGAATTTAATGGGATATTTTCCCCTCATTAAAAACCTTTCAGAAATCTTTTCTCCCTAAAGGTATTTATGCCTTGATACCACATTAATATACATTTGAATCAAAAGATGGGATGAGTTTTTCCGTGACTAGCTTTATGGGACATCTGCACATTGATTTCCATTCCAAGCCTCTGAGTTGTCCTCTAGTGTCCGCATATCACATAAAAAGTTAAATTGGAAACTTTCCACAGAGCTCAGCCTCCAGCCACCCCTGGGGCGGAGTAGGAGCTCCCTCACTCTGAAGACCCCCATGGTGGCTGGCAGTGACCCGGAGGAGCATTACCTGTGTTCCAATGAGGACGTAAGGCACGTTGGGCATGCAGACCTTCAGCTCAGGCACCCACTCCTCCTGGACGTTGTGGTATGAGGCGGGGTTCACCACCGAGAAGCAAATCAAGAAAACGTCCGTGTTGGGGTAGGACAGGGGTCTCAGCTGGTTGTAGTCCTCCTGCCAGGGGGAAAACAGCAAGTGTATTATGGGGTGGGGGATAATTGCACATGTGGGCACCATGTTGGCTCTTGATGAACTCCTCAACACTGTCTCTCCATGCTTAATCCACATTTATAACCTCTGGGGAACTGCTGTGGGGGAAATCACCCCTTGTGGGCCAGAGGTGTTGTTTTGTCAGCATCTTTAGCCAAAAGAGCTGATATATTTTGTTTGTGTGTGTATTATCCATGGTGATGCTGGTGTAGAAGGTAACATTAAACAGCAGCTGTTGCTGGTGGTATAATAAAAATTGATCTTGAGGCTGTGTGTACTGGCCTCAGCCCTTCAACAATGTGATCCCATCCTGGGAAGTATTATTTGACTGTCACTGCTAGCTAATATTTGCTGACGACACACATCTCTAAAGGTTTTTCTGTTAATATTATGGCCTTTCTATTCCCCAGTAGACATTATAGACATGACCAAACACAACAAATAGGGTCTCCAGGCTATTTGGTTACATCTCAGTCATGTATGGTACATAGCAATGGGCCAGTCAGCAGAAGACATTCATCTTGAACGCACAAAGCAGATCAAATCCAGCCTGTAGTGGCTGGGTAAATCACTGGGGATGTTTTGGTGTTTCCACAGGCCCTGGACTGAGGAAGGAGAGATTTTTTTCTCCATGGACTAGTGAAGAGGGTGAATTTTCCAACAGCTCGAAGCGCAGCTGTGTTATGTCATGAGCTGGCTTTGATAGCTGAGTTTCAAGGAGGAATTTAGATCTGTTTTGGGGCTTGAGATGTTGAGAGCGAGCAGAGTTTTTGAAAGCTGTGTGAAAGGGATAGACAGGATCTTTCTGATAGAGCATATCTAGCTGTGTCTGGTGGGTACTTTTCGATGAAACCTGCTAGAAAATTTCAGTGCAACAAAAGAGATGCTTTTAGGGGGAATACACCTGTTCTGAAGATTTTTCTGGTGGGTCCAGAATTAAAAAAGGGGAAAGCAACACAAAGAAGTTGGAGTGTGGGAAATGACAATACATGTTGCAGTCAAGCCTGACTGAGACCTAGGTCTTTAGTTTATAGTTTCTGCATTCTGGGCAAGCCTCAAATGTCTGCAGTATGGCTGCTTTTGGCTATAACTGTATGAAAATTCAATTGGTACAATTTTGCTTTGCAGATGCTGAAATAGTTAATAACTCAATGAAAAGGGTGAAAAAAAAAAAAAAAAAAAAAAGCTATCCAGACACTGTAGCTCAGACTTGATAACATGTATTTGAGTTAGGGAAAATCCACATTAGGGTCAGGAGCCACGCAAGTTGCTCACTGTCCTGCAAGGAGAAACTGATGCAGGACTATATCGCTGTGTGCCCAGAAAAGGTGGTGTCTTGATTCAGCCTTTCTTCTGTCTTGTTTTGGTTGGGTCAACAAACGAGAGGGCTTAGTTATGAATTGAGACTGGTAAATCTTCTTTCCAAAGTCTTTTGTTGACTGAGTATGCAATGATAAGATGACCCGGACTACTTCTATATTGATACTGGTTTCTAAAAAATACTAATGGATTACGCAAAACCAAATTTCTCCAACATTTTTTAAACAAAAAATATTAATTATTTGTTCTGAAAGGAATTATTAGGCCAAATTTGGCTCTGTCTCATTAAAAAGAAGTTTAAACAAACATCCTAAACCACAAATAAAATGTTTTGTTTTGTCTAACTGAATGTTCATAGTCCCAAACCCACCTTCAACAGGAAGAATAAATTCCCAGTTATCACCTCCAGCTCTACAGCCACAGTATTTGGGGTAAACCCAGAGTATTTGCCAACTGACCTATGTCTTTCCAGTGTCATAGAAACTATTGAGCTGAAGAAGGGTTTACAAGACAAGAGGAGGTGTTTGGACATATCAGTCCCCAAGAAAGAGCAGATCGTCCACGTTCAGAGAATGTCAGGAAAAGAATCTCAGAGATGTTTGTGGGAACATCAGTGATGCAGCCACAAAGGAGCAAAGTCAGTGAGAGGAGATTTATACAAGACTCTGGAGATGACACCCATCTTCCAGCAGATGAGTTAATAGAGGCGAAGTGGATGTCAAGATGACAGGATCAACTGAGCAATTGTATTATAGAGACAGACATGTTTTATGTGGATGCTGTGGGTTCAGAAGGCCTGGCCTGATTATGGGACATTATTTTAACCCAGAACATCAAATCCGAGATTAAGTATGTTTATGCCACAATCAACGTGGGCTAATTCTAGGTGCTTGGCAAAGGCCTTTTCTGTGGTTTTGGGTAATTGCTGCAAGTCAGGCTCCTAAAACAGCCACGTGGTGGCAGCAAGCCCTCAAGGAATCGTGATTTAGGATTTCTGGAAAGAAATTGGCTAAATATAAGCAGTTTCAATATTCCAGACGTGCATATATAAAGGGGCTGGAACTTACTGTACCATTAAAATTACAAATTAAAAGCCACGAGTGCTTTGCCTGGTGGTGGTAGCTCCACGAATTTATTTTGCTTGCTCCTTCAGAGCCCTTAGAAAATCCTTTTTCAGGAGGAGCGTTCCTGATTTGTATTAGCAGCACAGAACATTATATAAACTGTAAGGAGGGACAGCCATGCATCATGTAGCAGAGGTCTCATCTCCTGTCAGGGCACATGGGAGCTTGCACGGATGTGTTAAAGCACAGGCACAAATGTCGTGCTGTCGTGACTGTGACTGTGGGCTGGCAGGAGCCTCCAGATCACATCAGACAAGGACTCTGTCTCTGTTCGTACCTGGTCTCCAGGAGAAGGCTGTAAAGTCTTGCAATGGATGGTTATGAGATATGGCACGTCAGGATCATTTCTCATTCAAAGATGGTTGAAATCAAGCAAAGAAATAGTATAAAAAAGGGACAGGACATTTGCATGTGTATGGGGCATATTCAGAGGTATTGCAGCTAGTGACAGTGGCATTTGGGAAGGGACACGAGTCCTTATGGGCTTGGGCTATAGCTGATCATTAATTTGTTTCCCTAGCTCATGCTCGCATTTTACTACGTGTTATTTAGGAAGCGCACAGCTACCCAGTTATACTGCCTGGCCACTGGTTTGGCGTGGAAATGGCCCTGTTGAGTTACATGCCTGTGACTTGCTGGGGCTGAGATACATCGACTGGTATTGCTAACCCCCTGCTCTATGACTGCCATCAGCCTTGCAGTGTTCAGGCCCAGAAGGTAGAGCAAAACTTGATTTTTTTATGTTGCTCCTGTGCTGATCTCATGTACACTCCCTGCCACGTCAGCCTGTTAAAGCACTCTGCACCTGAGTCCAGCCTGGGGGAAAAAGACCACAGTGTTTTTTTGTTTTGTTTTGTTTTGTTTTGTTTTGTTTTGTTTTGTTTTGTTTTGTTTTTTCTCCTAGGACTGCTTGTGCCAGGGATGCAGAAAACCAGATACCCCAGATCTGGGGTCTCTGCCAGCTCTCCCTTCAGGCTGACAGAGGGTCCTGCTGCAGGAGTACATTTTCCAATTGTTATTTCATTAGCATATGTTTTATAGCATGGTAATGTCAAGAGCTATTTTTGGCTATGACTTCACACCGATGCCTTTGGAAAGCCATACAACACAAGGAGAAGGAGGGAGGAAAGAACCCAGATGATCTGTCCTTACAGCTTGAGCATGTGGGAAGCATCACCCTTTCAGACTCCACGGAGATACAATCGAGTCATCAAGAAGTGATTCATGTTCTGAGTTTTGACTAGATGGTCACGTCCCCTGGACCAAGGTCTGAAAGGGAAATGAGCCTGATGAGCTAGGAATGGTGCATGGAGGCAGGTGGTGCTCTGGCTAGTTTGAAACAGGAGGTGGCAAAATGACTGTGAAGGAATGGATGGAGGGGTGAAGTTTGTCAAAGAGACAGATTAGTGTTTCTTCTGGCTCAGGAGGACAAATAAGAGGATGTGTTACTGAGGAAATGGCTGGCAGGTGGAAATGTCAGTCCTACAAAACAAGTGGAAATAATAAAACACTGGGTAAAATCTGACTGAGAACTGAATATAACCCCAGCCTCATTTGCAAAGGTTTGCAGTGGTGCTGGACATGCTCCGGGCTCTGCATTTATGAACACAGAATAGAAAAGTGAACATGGGACAAGGACTTGGGTCATATTTTGGGACTGGCTTTTGGATCATCTGTTTGTACCATGTGAATAGAAAGGATGGGTGGACTGTAAGTGGCACCAAGCTAGCTATGAAGCGACTGTTGCTGCCTATACAAGTGATAAGAATAAAATGAAAAAAAGGGTAATCCAAAGCATAGAAACCCCAACCCTGCTGAGTGCAGGTTTTTCTGGAAGTGACAGTATGTCCTGATGAGGTTTTTGACCTCTCTGCATACTGCTGCAAATTATATTCTGTAATAAATGGCCTTCTGCAGACAGGAGGGTCTCCTTCTGCGTTGTTTATGCACTTTATAGCAGTCAGTCATGTCCAAAAAAAGCACAGCCAAGAAGTGTTCCTGAAAGCAAAGCCCTGCATCCACGGCTGCTGAGTTCCAGAAAGTGAAGCAAGCTCCCAAATCTGCTTTCCTCTCCCACTGCTTCCAGTGCCAGCTCTGACCAGAGGAGCTGGTGGATGTGGGTTGCAATCTTCCCAGCCTGGGAGGGACCTGGGACCTGCTCCCTCCTTCTCAGCAGGTGATTTTCTGCAAGGTTTTTGTGCAGATTGTGGTCCTTTCTTTATTCTGCCAGTTGCTGGCATTTGGAGGTAGGAGAGGGAAATTTCACCATGCAGATGTGTTGCTCCCTGTACCCTCTTCTTCCCTTCTACTGGTAGAGCAAAGCCTCCTCTCCAGGGGCTGAAATCAGCCCACAGACCAGAGCTCTTCTGCAAACTTTTATTGTAAGCACACTGTATCAGACCGTGGACAGTGGAAATAGTAGAAGCATTATATATGTAAGTAAGTATGCGGTACAGACTCTCCTGTAATGGAGACGCTTGTCCTGGGAGAAGGATGTTAGGATGAATGCCAGTCTGGCTGGGTTACCATTTAAAAGTCAATAACTGGTGACTGATAGGCTAGTGATGTATATTGATTAGATTTCTGATCTTGGAAATGGGAATTCTTCTCTGTATCTTCAATGCCACCATGTGGTAAATGTAAAAAAACACTGACTTTATATGAAACGTCATATTTGCAGTAGGAGGAAGATATATGGGAGGATGAACAGACTAATCAAGCTTTAGTTTTTGCTTAGACAAAATTCAGTTTGAGGGTCAGTGTATTTGTGTGTGCCTTATTGCTAAACCAGAATGAAAGCTCTATGTATAAAACAAAAAGGAGAAGGTCAGCAGATCAACCATTACAACTCACAACTGATTGTTAATATTTGTAAAGAAACCCCCACAAACAGCATGAACAACAAACCCCAGTATATGGTAGTAACAAACAAACCATGGGAAAGGAAAATTGTAAATGTTTTGCAGTAATTTACCTGCCCTGCAGTGTCATAAAGTCCCAGCAAGTGTTGTTGTCCTCCCACAGTCACAGTTACTGGAAGAGAGAAACAAGAGATGTTGTTTATGCACAAGACAGTGGCCTCGTTTTTACGTGTTTTTATCCTGAAAAGCCAATAGACCCTTGAGCTAGACACATTAGCACGTGTCTTGCAATGTGCATCCTAAACCAAGCACATCTATTCAACACAAATTGAAGGCAACCTAACATCACAACAAAAGCAAATCTATGCTAAGCTCTTATTTCTTTACAGACAGCCAATAGAGATGAGCTGCACACACTGCTGCTACCAGGGACCCAGAGGCCAGAGGACATTTGCTTCTGTCTCTGCAGCCACCAGCTGAACCCCATGAGGTGCTAGGACTTGAAAGCGCAGAATTCCTGCCTCCCCACCATGAGCATTGGGGTAGGTTTTTCATGGATCATTGAGAGAGTTTTTATTATTTTAATTCTTCCAGGCTGTGAAATGATGAAGCATTCAGCAGTGGTTGATGTTTGGTGGGTCTCAGTGGAGGTGCACTGCCTCTTGGACAACCTGTCCTGTCCTGTCTTGTGTCATGCAACCACAAGTCAAGTGGCAGGGCTTAATATGTGGGGCTCTGTGGTGGATGCTTCAAAGGACAGGGAAGAAAAGGAGCACTAATATTTGCAGGGATGTTGAACAGATTCTGTTGCAAATGAAGGAAAGTTTATTTTATTGGCTATGGCTGAGTTTATTGATCACACTCAGCACATTTACTCCTTTAGCAGAATTCACTTTGAACTTCTTTTTAACCCCATTGACATTGATGAAAATGTTTTCTCATTGCCTTTGGATGAACTCCATTATTAGCTGATATGTAATCAGTGTTATTTTGTATAAAGGCTATGATCTGTGTTAATGACATTTAGTTAACCTGTTAATCTTCTTAAATCATTATTACTCAACTGGAAAGAAATGGGGGGAACCCAGTTCCACTCATTAGTCAAGAGGAAGACTTTTAACATTCATTGGGAAAGTTGTTCAAAATAATGATATTCTTGAAGCCCATGGACTATTACATTTTTTAAGCACAAGGACAAGTGGCAGTAATGAACATATAGCTATGCCTGGGGTAGGGGGGTTAAGACTGATGCCCATCAGCTGACCACAACTTGCAATTAATGAGGGCTGGGAAAGATTAATAATTACCTTGGTCAAAGAGAAAGTTTGAAAAAATCACACAGGTTCTTGATGATTTTTTTGTAAAGTGATAAGACATTTGTAGGAGGAAAGCACCTACCAGTTTATAGAAGTTAGTAGCTCCTGCACTAGGGAACAATGTCCTGTTTGAAATCTCTTAGACTTGAAGTCTCTGTCAGTGTGGCTGGACAGACTGATTATTCAGCAGCTTTACTTACTTGCAAAGTGACATGGTAATTTTGCTAGCATATAAACAGAACAAAACTGACATCCTGAAAGTACAATGGCTCAGCAAGGACCAGACTTGCTGATGAGAGCAGGACGGGCTGCACTCACCCGCTGCTGGGACTGCCTTGTGATGTGCAGGGGAAAGAGGAGATGAGAAAGGGGCCAAGAGCTCCCCTCCTCCTCCTCAGTTCAGGAGGTAGCTCATACACAGTGCAACTCCCAGGGGAACTCAACATGGGGTTAACCATTGAGCATGGATGTCCATGGGTGGAAGAGCCAGAGAAGAGGTACCAGGGTGGGGAGATGGGTATCAACGCAGGCAGGAGGTTGTCCAGATGCCCCATCTCCTTTCTTCAATGTGACTTGAATAAAACAATTTGAACTAAACCTTGCCAGAGCCCTGGTTTTTAACTTTTTGTGGTTTAGGGAGTCTCAAAATGTCCCAGCAGGGGTATGAATTGTATGTCTACTGGCGATATGCTTGCTTTGTATAGTTCCCTTCACAGAAGCAGTGGGGGTCACAGGTGGTCCTGCACAGCTTAATGGGGGCAGCCAGGAGGTGTGCGGTTTTTTTCCAGTTGCAACCTTGGCCAGCCTTCAATCTGCCCTTGTGCCAAGAAGTGCAGGAGCCAGACCTGTTCTGCTGATTTTACTCTGCTCAAGGACCATCTGTGGGAAGATGTCCCCTTCAGCTGAAGGCAATTTTCCAGCTGTGGTGCATTAGCCATGCAGTGCTCAGCTGGCTGAGGTGGCATTTGGGACTGCACGTGGTGGTCAGGACTGCACATGAGCATCAGTCACACTGTCGGTCCTTGGCTGAATTTGTATGGAGTCTGCAGAGCATCTCCAAAGTGGGATGCTCGTAGGACAGCTGTGTGGCCATGGGGTGCATAGAGGTGCAGGTGATCTAATGTGTCTGATAAATATGAAGAGATGCTTGTCCATATGTTAGTACTGACATAGTTATCCAGCTCTATCTCTCATGCTGGCTAACTCCGAATGTAGGCAAACTGAGCTAGCTGGGTCCTGCTTACAAAGATCAGCTCTGGTCTTCAGTGTTTTGAAGACTTAGAAGTCACACTGAAATTTACTCTGTCCAGTCTCGGGCTGCTGTGAAGCTTTGCTGGCCCATCTCTTGGTGACATCTGACAGAGCTACACTGGCAAAAAGCCCCAGTGCAGATACAAATTGCTGCCTTGTTCCAGTAGTTAATATGGTTCAGAGATAAGCTGTTTGGATATAGGTCCAGTCTGTCTCCAGTGTGCTGTACTGTGCCAGAAGGATATGCTGCAACAGCTCCTAAACTACGATCTGTACTCTGTGGTCCATGAAGTCACAGTGGACATTTTGCAACAGGTCTGTGAAGCCACACACCCAACAGTTTTTGATAGTTTGTACAGGTCAGTTTGGCTCTTGATGACCTCTGGGACATGCTGAAGGGGAATAGAGAGGTTGATGGTGTCCTACCATTACTCTTCATATACACAAGTGCTAAAAAATGCAAGGGCTTTTGGAAAAATGCATCCTGAGGCTACCCAGCTTGCACATCACATTTTAATTCTTCTTATAATGTCCTGCCATGGATTTCTGTGCAGTACCAGTCATATCTTTTCTCTTTTTCTTTTTCTCTTTTTCTTTTTCCCTTTTTTATTTTTTTTCTTTCACTTTCTCTTTTTCTTTTCCCCAGCAACCTTTGTATTTTCTTTCTTCTTGTCAATTGTTCTAATCTGTCTCATCATTAGAAGATATCCTTCCTGTCCACATCACTTAGATAAATTTACAGCTACTACCACAGAAAAACTGTCTTGTTAGCTAAGCTTCAGCAACAGGCAAACTGTTTTCTTTGGCTTCCTGGCTCTGAATGCAGTGGAGACCAAATGCCCACACTGACAATTCAAATAATTACTGGCTCTTGAAACAGCAATATCTACATTAATATATTGTGCTGAAATTTCCACCACACTTTCATGCAGGCAAAACAGATGCCAAAACAAATGGTGTTTGCCTGTGAAAACATCATGATATTTTTATACGAAGAGTTTATCAGTCCACCTCTGTCAGGCAAAAGGCCGTTCAGCCTGTCCACTTTGTAAGTTGTATTTCCGAGCTGAGATTGCTGTGCTAGATTTGTAGGCCTTACTTTTGGCTTTATCTCAGTTTACTTTTACTTAACCTGTTACTACATTTTCCTGTTCTCTCAGTGGCCAAGCCTATGGGAAGCCAATCTGGAATTCCTTCCCAGTCATTGGGGTAATGCAGGCTCCTTTATGGGCTTGTGAACTTGACTTTATGAGCAGTCTTGAAGAAACAAGATAAATACAAACTCTCCTTGACATTTACTAGTTATATTGATATATTGATTAAGCACTGAAGTGGCATGGCCTTTAACACCAAGTGCAGTGGGGACTGCAATAAAATGTGGCTGAATACTTGCACAGTCCTGGTTCTCGTTTGGCTCCAGTCTGGGTTGCATCAGATGATGTGACAAGGCAGACGTTTTCCTCCTTTCACTGGGTGGTTTTAACCAAGTGCAGTATGTGTAAAACACTGCTTTTAAAATGTTAGTTAGATCATAAATTATCTGGATATTGCTTGTTAGAGTTTGAGTAACTATTTTGGGTCACCTCTAGGACTTTGTCAGAGGCCTTGGTACCTGGAAGTTTTGCTAATGGGCTTCAACACAGAGCTCTGAAACATCCTGTCCTGCTTGAAGACCACATCAGAATGGCAAGGTGCTGGATGGAGTTATTCTGTGGGCTGGATCAGCTGTCTGGACCATGAATTTTTGTTGTTTTGTTTGTTGTTGTTGTTGTGCTTTCCTCAGCATAGATTTGGGGTTTAAGTTGAACTGCTCAGAAGGGGGCACCAGTCAATGATTTCCCCAGGACATTTTACTCCCTCTCTGATAATCAACTTTGCAAGGCATGATTCAAGTCCAGGCTGTATCTTCAAGAGCAAATGCATTGTCTGTGGAGTGCAGCAAATGCCAGGGTGTCTCAGGGACCTCGACTTCCTTCCTCTTGTACCTTTCAGATTGATTTCCGTGAAGTAAAGTTATCAATATACTGAATGCAGTGTGCTCTTCAGCAGCTGATATCCCTGGGGATAGTGACGATATGTTTGCTTGCTGGGTAACATTTTCCTTCCTGAATGTAGTTTTGTGAAAGCTTTTGTAATGAACTGTGAATCCCTCTCCTCTTCATAGATGTCTTCTATCTCTGGGGCTTACCCCAGAGAGGACAGGAGTGTTTTTGTAGGAGTTTGTTTGAAGAAGAACGATTTAAAAAACCTTGTTTTTAAATTATCTTCTTTTTGTACTGCATGGCTCCTAAATAAGGGTCTCTGTAGTTGAAAAGTGAGGATCCCTGTTATGTTTCAACTAGGGACTGAAACTCAAACATGCCTCAAAGACATTTAGATCTGTAATTCCCTTTGGTTCCCATAATGGTCAGCCATGTAAGTAACTGAACTGAAAATACATATCCCAGACTTTAAGAAATAGCAGCTTTGAATATTGAACAGGAAAACAAAGTAAATGTGGGTGGTACATTTTTGTAGGACCTTCTAAGTGCTTCAGGTGCATTTATGAATCCTATTTTGTGTCATTATTTACGGTCAGAAATATCTTTCTTTGGCTGATCCAGGT